CAAGAGAGAGAGCTTGGACATCGTCGAGGTGGACGAAGCTGGTTTGATCAAGATCAACCCTTTGGCAGGATGGAGTTTCAAGGAGGTACAAAATTATATCAAGGAGAATGATGTTCCATACAACGACTTGTTGGATCGCGGATACAAGAGTGTTGGAGATTGGCATTCAACTGAGCCAGTAAAGGAAGGAGAGGACGAACGTGCTGGAAGATGGAAGGGCACTGAGAAGACCGAGTGCGGGATTCACAACAAACGATCAAAGTATGCACAATACTTGTACGAGATGGAACAAAAGAAACAACAAGAGGAACTGTCGGCAGCATTGGAAAAGGTTCAGATTAGGGAAGAGAAGATCGAAGATATTACTGTCGGAGTTTAAAGTTACCAGCACTTGCTGTCTTACTTGACACAGTTTCTTTTCTTTGCAATCTTCTCGTTCCATTATAGCACACCTTCCATGGTCGGAGTTCAGGGGGTACATGGTGGGATAAACACATGATTTATGAGCATTGGAGTTGCAGGCGCTTAGATAAAGGGAAATCATATGATACCTTACCCTAGTTCTTGTCTTACTTAGATCTTAGAGGCTCGTTTTTTGATGCTCGTCGTCAAAAATTTCAGTCTCGCTATTGTATATAGCGAAAACGACTTAATGGAAGTTACATTAATACAATCCAGACCCTTATTGTGATGTCGTTTTGACGTGTTTTCAAGTGAAAGATTGAAGTCGCTGATAACATATCGCCAACGAAATCCGGCATTGGTGTGACATGTGTGCTTGTCACACACAGTGATCCTCGTTGGATAATACTAGGTGATCATTATCTTGAAATATATTTCAAGAATTATCTCGTGTCCCGACGAGTTCCAAAGAACAACCAGAGGTAGTTTTGAGGACAAACTTCTTCAAGGCGCCTTTTCAAGAGGTCAAACGTATGAGCTGAGAAGAATTCTGATTACCAGGTGAGACAAGTCTGAACTTGTGTGTGCAATCCAATTCATATCTCATCATCACAATAGATCTGGAAGCTTATGAAACGAAGCCACTATCTGTGCTGATATTAGCGGTGAGGGGAATGTGGAGGAGCTGATTGTGAAATACTAGCAGGAGACTATGGTGCTCCCAGAACTGATATTGTCTAGTTCAAGACGCCGGGCCTTCAAATGTGGACGAAGTGAAGCTTGTTTTATCGCCCGAAGTGGTAGACTGGGGTAGCGTTCGACATTTTGGTAAGAAATGATAAAAATTGAGTTTGCGGCATTCGGCTCGGGCCACTGCGGGGAAAGCGGCCGCTGTCGCCACTCACGCGGGGGAGCTCAATGCCAAGGATGATGACGACACTGCTTTAGGAGCTTTTGCTACTGGAATTCTAGAAAGCATGGAAAAGAAAACATGGCATTTAGTTTCTGCGTACGTACCTACCTCTAACCTACGTAGTAGGTAGTAATTCTTCTGGTCAAGAATTTCTCCGTCCATTTTCTTCTTTTACAACCTCGTCGTATTCCTGTGATTGTACCCAAAGAGTTGCATACAATCAAAATCGATAAAATACCCAAAATGTCAAGCTCAATGGAAAAAGCAGGCGCCAAAGCCAAGGAGGTTGCGTAGGTTCATTCGGAGCATTACCCCTATGTTTGCAGTACTAATGGATTTCAAATAACAGAAAGGAAGACTTTGATAAAGCAAAGGAGTTGGCACGTTCAGCAGCAATCAGTGGAGCTTACCTCTACCCCATTAAAGTCCGTTGAATTCTAATTCATATATCTTTCTCTCTATTCTATCGTATCGGAAGCTAATCACAAGGTTGCCTCAAATAGGGAATCTTCTACTTTCTCTCGCACCGCACATTATGGAAACCCCTCTTGTCGAAACTCGTACCTACTCTGTCCTTATCCGTCATTGTTGTAGTTGTGATGTTCATGTTCACCTATCTACCACAACTTGCCATTCTCATTTTCACCGAGGGACCTCTTGCTGCAGTCTCTGCAGTCCTCTTGACCCTCTCTGAATCTAGCACAATTGTCACTATGCTTTCGAAGAATTTCCTCATTGCAGATGCTCTTGTTGACACATTTGATGGAGTGATGGTGGCAAAAGGTCAAACAGAAATCGTACAAGGTGGACGAGAAATCAAATCAGGAAAGCTCAGTGATCCAATGAGAAAGTTGGGTAAAGTTGTCAAAGGATATGGTGAAAAGTATAGCTTTGGAGGCTTAGTAAGATATGTGATGCATCTGCCATTGAATCTTATTCCAGTCGTTGGCACGGTAGTCTTTGTTGGTCTGCAAGGACGACAGAGAGGTGAAGGAGTTCATTCAAGAGTATTTTTCAATACCATTCTTTGACAAATCCATTCAAGCTGACAGAATGATTAGTATTTCCAATTGAAGGGATGGTCCAACGCCCAGAAAGAAGCATGGCTCAAGGAGCACTCGGGGGCATACACATCGTGAGTTTTTCTTCCAATGTCGCCTCGTTCGTTTTTCTACAATACCCCTCATTTTTGCAAGAGGTCAAACGCACGGCTTCGAGATCTGCATTGCATTTGTACCTGGCAAATGCAGTGCTCTACCAGTTTTCGCCCTTTTTCCTGCACGCACCGACTCTATAAATGCGTCTTTGGCAGGTATCATAAAGCTAGATGACACCACTTTTTGTCAAGATCTACCAGTACAGATTTTATCTAACTAACTTTCGCGTAGATTCGGAACTATCGCAACTCTTCTGGAACTTGTCCCTGTTGCATCTATCCTCTTCTCGTTCACCAACACTGGTAATTATCCCCGCTTTTAGCTCTACTCCTAGACCCATACTAATGATCTCTCAGTTGGCGCAGCATTGTGGGCTGCCGATATCGAAGGTAATGGCACAACTATGACTGAAATTTCTTCGCTTCAGGCGCAAAAAGAAGCTCTAAGGGCCGAGTAAAGCCCTTTCTGCAACCTTCCGAAATTGGCTACAAACGGTGCAACTTTCGGCCAGTCTTCGTACTCCTTCGTTAATTCGCTTGGAAGATCCCCTGTAGCACAACTGTTAATCTGTGCATGAATATCCTTGCGGTTTCTGGTTGTTGGTAACCATTCGTTTGTCTTCCTGTCGATCATTGACGGTGAATATGGCGTTGGTAAATTGGTAGCGATGGAGTGGAATCCAGGTATGGCTTGGCGAAAAATAAAGGATGTTAATTATTAATGATTTGCGTTTTTCTTTCCAATAAATTGAAATCAACAGATGATACCACAACGTGCATTATCTACTACAAATGTTCCAATATGAAGCCACATTATTAGGTACATCAATGTTACTTACACTGATAAGTACTTGTGTGTCAATTATTCCGTCAGCGGATTTCTCAGACATGATGCACAGCCAGAGATTTTTATCCTGGAATCCCTAGATTCTCGTCCATCGCGTAAAAATCTTTTGTACTCTTGCAAAATTTGAGTGACTTTGAATCCGGAGAACAGTAAATTGATCAGTACTATAGAGCTGCTGGTAGATTGCATTGCATCTGCCATCAACGGTGCGTTTGTTAATTCTGTTGATGGATGTCTTGACCAAGATATGCAACATGGCTGGTTGTTAGTAATACAAGCTGCTCTTGGAAACAGGCTTCAGAAGCTTATGTCAACTCGACTTCTTTGGGAATTTACAGCTGGAGACTCACATTGATAATGTTGGAATTGGGTGAAAAGGACATTTTCACATGCAGGAACAAGCTCACCAAGTCACGGAAAGGTGCATCCTCGCTTGTTGTGTTGTCCAACTTAATGGACGGGAATGCAATGCAGCCGACCGTTGCGTAACATTAGTATAATGGTCCTTTCCTAGTCGTTTGAATTTGAGAGACAATTTTCTATTGCAATCTTGGAGAAGTGGAAGAGTTTCCGCCTCCGAATCTCTCAAGGTAACTGTTATCCCGGGAACTTGCCATACGGTATGGTCACAACATTTGATGAAACGTAAGGGAGGAGATAAGTGGATAATGGGTCTGCTTTTGAGGTGTATAGTAGGTGAGCTGAGTATCTCCGAATGTCTTCGATGATGGGAAAATACATGGCAATGATGGAGTTTCCATGCAGACTTCCTCCTCCATGGGATGTTTTGATAGCAAATTGAATGGGTTTGATGTCAAAAATTTAAGTGCTAAATTCAAGTGCTAGTATGGATGAACCACATGAGGGAAATATGTGACGTCTTAATTGGAGGAAAATATGAAGAAAGAAGAAAAGCTGGATACTTGCTGCCTCTTGTCGCTTGCCTGCTTGCCCAGGTCCTGTGTGCTTACCTTAAGGTCGCCTCGTACCGTTGACCTTGGCTCTTTCCTTTCCTGGAGACGGGAAGTGGACCGAGTCGAATCGGAATCAAAGGAGTTACCGAAAAGAGTCCACTCAGCATTAGACATCTACTGTCTATCTAGGTAGGTACGAGGGAGGTAGGTACGTATCTGTATTAATGCATCATTGCATTCAAATTGAAACCTTGCTACTACTATTAGGTACTTTGATTGACAAGGCATTCTCATCTTTTCACCCTTTCACCTTAGTGCGCTTATCCTCTTTCTCTTCTTCTCTCATCCCATCTTTCCATATATTTCAACCTTTCACTTCCCATGCCACAATTTCTTTTTCGTCTCTTCTCATCTCGTCTCATCCTCTCCTCTTTACTCTCATAAATTCTCCTCCCATCCCATCTTCCTCGAGACTCAGCAGTTTGGAATTGACGTTCCGGTCTTCAATACTTCAATATATTGGAGAGACATCCTACAGTACAGATTAAGTTGTCCTACTTATCTGATTACAAGTTCCTTTTAATATCCGCTTTTTGCGAAATCACACTCGTTTGTCCTCCTCATCCAAAAAATCAAGTGATAGATCGATCTCAGGTATGAATCGCCTCCCAACATCTTTTCATACTTCACAGAAGTCTTCCTACTCCCTTAGAATCGATTGATTCTTCTTAGGTCGTCACTAATCATATCTTGTTCACATAGATCAAGATGAAGATCAATATTACCGCTAGACTTGCGTCCAGCGTCTTTCTTCTCGCCTTAGTTCCTGCAGCCCGAGCTCTTCCACAATGGCTTCAACCACACCTTCGTAATGCCAATGCGGATGTGTTTGCTCCTCGAGATTATACAATCTATGAGAGAGCAGAAGGTATTCAAGATCGCTATACACCATATGGATATGGACCTCAACCTACCTCCACCATAAACCCAGTCGCAACCGCTGATCCTGAGGGGACTTCATCATCCAGCACTAGAACTGGTCAGTTCATTGATCTTCCTTTTCAATCTTGATTAATTACATACTAATTGAACTAGGTTCTGCCACGGCTTCTGTCTCTGGTTCTTCTGTCAGTGGTATCCTTTCCACTGGTACTTCTCCTGTTAGTTTCTATACTGGTCCAGGATCGGTTGAACCTTCTGTTGTTACTTCTCCTACTGTTGCATACTCTACAATCACGATTCCAGTTTCTGCTACAGAAGGTTCTTCCACGGATTCGGCATCGGCGTCGGCTTCAAGCTATGATTCAGGAACTTCTGCTTCAGTAACAGGGGCCATATCATCGGAATATAGTGGAATTTCACCAACAATACCTGGAGCTAAAGATACTACTTCTTCAAATTCCGATATCAGCTTGCCAACATCATCTGGAGCACCATATACTGCTCCTTCAGGGTCTAGTGGTAATTCGCCAATAACATCGGCAAGTACACACGAACCATCTGGTATCACTACGTCAGAGCATTCTTCTACCACTCCAAGTGCAACCACTACTGATCACTGCAATCATGACAATTGTCTTCGCGAATTCATTCGATCTTCTTCCATCGTTGGCCCATTTTGTGCTACATATACTTTGTCAGAAAATACTGCCACTGCAGATCTTCCAACATATGTTTCTCAATGTCATGACTCGCCCTCAAGAATATCATCTGCATGTTCATGTTTGAATACTGGTGCCGCTACTACTTCAGGAACTGTCGGTAGCAGTACATCTTCGACACAAGCAGGAGCAGAAACTACATCCCCAATAAGTGGTGCACCGACTTCTTCTGGAGCTCAAAGTTCTTCATATTCATTACCTACAGGTCCAGAATCTTCTGCTAGCCAAAGTTCTTCTAACGCTAGTTCTGGAAGCTTAGGCTCTACGGTGACTAATACTCAAACCTACACCATTACACCTACCATCACTGTTCCCTCCGAAGGCCAGACAACTCAACCACCAGGAAGCGCATCAGGTGGCGAGTCAACAACCACTTCACCGGGAAGCGGGACGACAATCACTCCAAGTATGATAGGAAGTGAGATAACAGCTTCTCCATCCGGTGGAGAGACGATATCGACTCCACAAGGAGGTGAGACGACCCCTAACCCATCAGGTAGTGAGACAACAACCGCTCCTGCTCCCAACACAACTACTACCTCTGGAGATATAACCCCAAGCGAAAGCTCAAGTAATCCCAGCTACACTTCAGAGGTATCGAATACAGAGTCTGGAACGCCTCTGACCTCTACCGGCCCACCTCTCATGCCTGGAAATTCATCCACTCCTGTCGGTCCAATTAGCTCATCAACATATGTTTCAGCCAGTTCGTCATCTGCAGGACCATACACAAATACTTCAGCTTCTGCAACCGGTCCTGTGACTTCTGGAATCTCATCATTCACTCCATCTGGCGGCATATCAGCATCGGTACCTGGTAGCTCAAATGGTGGTAGTGCTCCTTATACAAATTCGACATCGGGATCATCTCCAACAAGTACAATCGCTTCTTCAGGCACTGCACCATTTACCAATCCTTATCAAACTGGAACTGGTCTTTCTAGTGGAAGTATCTCTGGCAGCATTTCAAGTCCGAGTGCATCAGCACCTTTATACACAAATTCGACTACTTTGGCTAGCTCAACTTACCTCGGTACTGCGCCATTATCTTCCGGCTCATCAGGAAGCATTATTTTGTCAACAGGAGCTCCATCATCCACTCCTCTATACTCACTCAACTCGACATCCCCCTCAAGTGGAGTTGTGGGACCTACAGGATCAAATGTATCTGGTGGTATTAGTCCCAGCTCGTCTGCCAGTGCCCCTTACCCGACGGGTAATAATGCTTCGATTACTACTGGTCCAACTGGTACAGGATCTGCACCAACATCCTCTTTATTAGGAACTGGTAGCTCGGGTTCTTCTGTCTCTGGTATCATTAGCTCTTCCGCTGAATCTATTTCTTACTATCCTTATGGAAATAGCACTTCGTATACAAATGGTCCAACTGGATCTGTAATAGGAAGTTCAAGCGCTGTATCAGGTGGTGTCCAATCAAGTACCGGTGTTTCAAGCGTAGGAAGCTACCCATCTTCTTCTAATGTATCAGGTGGAATCACTTCATCGCTTCCGTCCTCTGCTCCATATCCAATCTCCAACAGTACAGTAACGGCAGGACCAACTAATCCAGGTACTTCAGTATCTGGTGACCTCACTTCTGTTACTTCTGCACCACTCGGCACAGGAAGCTCACCATCATCAAGCGTTTCAGGCGGTATTAGCACTTCGCCGGTATCTTCCCAACCATACCAACCTTATCCCTATGGAAATTATACCCTTCCGCCACTAGGCACAGGTACAGGAGGTGCAGCTACATCCACGCTTTTCGGGTCCGGAAGTTCACCATCAAGCACCGGCACAGCGCCTCTAGGGACAGGAAGTTCAAGCGCTAATTCAGGATCACCTTCATCAGTTCCATACCCAACTCCGTCCAATGGAACTTTGACTAGTGGACCAACCGCACCGACAGGAACCTCGCCAATATCCAGCAGTGATTCTGGCCAATCTTCATCGGCTCCATATCCAACTTCAGGAAACGGCACTTTGACGAGTGGACCAACTGGAACCACACCTGTCTTGAGCACTGGCACAGCACCTTTAGGAACAGGAAGTTCAAGTACTGATTCTGGCTTATCATCGTCAGCTCCATATCCAACTTCAGGAAACAGCACTTTGACCAGTGGACCAACTGGAACCACACCTGCCTTGAGCACTGGCACAGCACCTTTAGGAACAGGAAGTTCAAGTACTGATTCTGGCTTATCATCGTCAGCTCCATATCCAAGCTCTTCAAACGGGACCTTGACTAGTGGACCAACTGGACCATCAGGAACTTCACCAGTCTCAAGCTCGTACCAATCATCTGTCTCTGGCAGCCCTACCAGTATTGGTAATGCAAGTTCGGTGAATCCGGCCTCATCTGCTAGTACTTACGATCCTAATGGATCTACTTCCAGTCAAGTATCCGTAGGGGCCTCGATATCATCGTATTCAGCAACAGGTCCATTTAATACCAGCACTGGAGCTTCTCCTACTACGCCTTTGTCCTCAGGTAAGCTAAAATAAATAAAGATCCAAATATTTTGGAATTTTGCTGATATTATTTTGAAGGTGACTCTGGTACATCGATCACGTTGGTAACGTCGACACCATCTACGTTTGTAACTTCGGTCTCGACTGGTACATATGCTGGGACCAATTCTTCTTCCATCATCTCATCGGCGTTAACTTCTGACTCTGGTTCTTCAATCTCATCCACGGATTCTTCAAGTGCTGTACCTTCTACAAATGCTCCCACTCCAACCAGTACCTATTCTCCACCACCAACTTATGCTCCCCCACCTCCACCATACTACGCGCCACCTCCACCAAATTATTATGGCTGGGGATCTTGGAGCAGAAAGCATCAGAATAGAGATGTCGGCAGTGTTCGCCGTTGGTTCTGGTAAGAATTGAGTACAATACATCGAGCGTTAAGCTCAAACACAAATTTTCGCTTCTAGACTTGCTTTCATTTTGACATTTTGATTGTATTTTCAATCGAAACACATGTGTTCTTTCACTATCTTAATTTCCCTTTTTTTTTTTACGAACTTTTTCTCCAATGTATGGATGAAGGAAGGCAAGATTCAAAATGACTATCATGTCAATTAATGCATAACAACTTCATTTACTGTTTGGTGCTTTTATGACCCAAACAAAAATGAGCTGTGAAAGAAGTTAGTTGTTTAGCAAGGTTGTATGAAATAGCTACATGAAGAAAAAGAAATAACATATCAAATCAATGTTCTTGTTTTATTGATGTTTGGTATGTGAGATATAAGTTCGGATGCAGTGAACTATCGCTTCAATAAATGATGAAATATCTTTTTCATTTGAGTGATACTAGCAGTGATGGAATCATACATATTCTCTCTATGCTCGCTCTTTGCTTAGGTACCTAGGTATTCTTCAAAATCTTAACGAACACAATATTGATTGAATACATTTCCTTCTATTTTCTATTTTACTTGTAACGTGGTTTATCATCGAATAGCCTATATCATCGAATGGCCCATTTTCATTTCAATTTACACCTATTTCTTTCAATATATATTTTATTAATAATCTATAATGAATTCGAATAATCAAGAAGCTTGTATACTCTTTACTATCAAAACTATTTATAAAGATAAAAAATTAAGTATTCAAAAAACTATTATACTTTATAATATTCCTTGTACAATTCTTCAATATAGAATGAAAGGTTTATCTTTTTGTATAGAAACTCAAACAAATTATTATAAGATTATAGAATTAAAAAAAGAAATAATTGTTCAATATATACTTGATATAGATTTAAAAGGATTTTTATTTAAATTAAAGAATGTAGAAAATATAGCAAATAATATTCTCAAATCGAAGGGTATGAAATATATTGAAAAGCTTTAGATATATTGATTTGTAAAGCATCAAATCGAATTAAAGATATGTTTTAATTATATTTATAACTTTCAAAAAGTTTTTTATAAGGATTCTAAACTTCTTGAAGAGTGGTTTCAATTAATTACAAATATATGAACGAAATACAATATTTTGAATAGAGATTTCTACAATTTTAATAAAACAGGCTTTATAATGAGGATTATATATACAACAATAATAATAACTAGTGCTGAACGAAATAGTAGAAGTAAAACAGTACAGTCAGATAATCGAGAATAGGCTATAGTAATAATATACGGAAATGGAGAGGGTGAAATTATTCCCTTATTTCTAGTAGTTCAAGAACAAGTTTATCTCTCTAATTGATATACCGAAACGAATCTTTTTGTAGAATGGGCTATTAAATCTATATCTAATAAATGAACGAATAATGAGACGGGTTTAGAATAGTTGAAACACTTCAATAAGTATACTAAGAATTGAAGAAAGGGCAAATATCGAATGTTAATACTGAATAGGTATGAAAGTTACGAATCAATAGTTTTTTAAATATACTGTAAAGAGAACGATATTATATATTTACGTTTATCATTGTATTCAAATTATTTAACTCAATTACTTGATGTTAGCTATTTTAGCAATCTAAAACATTCATATGATAATCAAATTGATAGATTTATTAAGGTATATATCAATTATATTTCGAAGGTTGAATTCTTTATAGCTTTTAAAACTATATATAAGGAATCAATCATCTCTCAGAATATAAAATCAGAATTCCAAAGAACAGGTTTAATCTTATTTAATCCTGAAACTGTACTCTTGAAATTAGATATTCAAATTCGTATATCTACCCCCCCCCCCTCTTTCAATCTAAATTAATAAATCTCTTAAACCCCTTGTAACCCAACAAAAGCTTTTTCTCAATCAATATTAGTTAAATCTTGAATAACTTATTATCAATCAAGCTCTCCTACACCTATATTCAAAACTATACTAATTTTAATTAAAGGTACAAAGAAATTAACTCATAAGAATACACTTTTAAGTGTAAAGAATTATATACTTTAAATAACAAATAAAGTATTAAGCAAACATTAATGTACAAAAAAAACTCAATTATATTAAAGAGAAGTATTTATTAAATAAAAGGCTCTTGATATATTATCTCAATAAGAGATTGATATTCAGATTTAATATGATGAATATTAAAAAGGAGGGAATTCTAATAAAGAAGTATCTTCTAATCAATATTATAGTAAATACGGAAAGATAGAATATAATACAAGAACCTATTAAAATAATATAATAGATCCTAGATTATTAGATTCTTAATAGTTTCAATCAATTGATTCAATTATTGTTGAATAATATAGGTTTGAAAGTGTAAATTGAGGTGAAAGTAGGCCACTCGATGATATAAGCCACTCGATGATAAACCACGTTATATAAGCGATTATAATTTTGTTTCATTCCATTTCCTATCGAAGCGCCGTCACCGCTGTTCATCGTATTCTGATAGACCTTGGAAATTTATGATGATCACATATCCATATCCATATATTTGGTAGTCTCGAGATAGTCAGAAGGATAGTCAGGTACATTGGGCTCATTGGGTTGCATTTTACCGGGCTGACCTCGGATCAAATAATATTAAAAGTTAGTGCTGGAAATACAAAAACACTAAATACCCCTCCGCACAAATGAAAGGCTGCCTCTTACCCCCACTTCTTACAATCAATCCCTCGCAGAACGAACTAATAAGTTGATTCAAAACTACAACTTCTCAACTAAGGGTCAAATATTTACCTAGGGAGAGGAAATATATTCAAGGCCTCTAAAATTTGAACAAGATGGCCGAAAATGAAGCATCAGCAAGAACTGGGCGTCCCAGCTTAGGCAATAATGCCCGCAGTCGTTCCTATCTTCAAGAACATCAACAATATCGTCCTCCACAACAAGATGGTCATCACGGTATAGATAGCATAGTTGAAGGTATTCAAGGTAGTGCGCTTTCATCTCCTACCAAATCCTTCACTCAATTCAATGGAGTTCCTTCTCCACAACATCCTCCCAAGATTGTCGACAGCGGGCTCAATCATACCTTGTCGCACGCAAACTGTCAACCTGCGCCAAATACAAGTTCCGACCGAATGATCGCAACTCTTATTTACAAAACCAGATCTCCTCGTGTTTCAGTCACCGATTATCCACCCGATCGTTCTCCCTCACCAGCTTCCTCTCCTTCCAGATCCTCGGTGACATCTACTTCCCGCGCCATCCCGCCCAATCTTGCTCCTGTCCGCACACTCTCCAACTTCCCTCTCGAGCCACCACCACCCGATCCAGAACCGCTCGATCATCTCTACGGAAGCTACATCTCGCAGCTGTGCCTTACATCCTTCCTCCACCTCATTCAATCTCTGCCGAGCCGCTCCGGTTCCGATTTCCTCTCTTCCTCCCACCGCTGTCTCGACAACCCCGAACATCCATCCATCGTCGAACTCACCTTCTCTCCCATCCCCGATCCCACATATCTTGACCTCCAAGATTTGCGCAAACACGAACTTCTCTATCGCTTTGAGCGCGAATGGAATGTCGATGTCATTCTTCAACATGACACCGTCCTTCGACGCTATCCACGTCTTGTGGTTTTCGATATGGATTCTACACTTATCGAACAAGAAGTTATCGATTTAATCGCTGCTTCTATCGGAGTCGAAGATGCCGTTTCTGCCATTACCGCACGCGCAATGAATGGCGAATTGGATTTCTCAGCCTCGCTTCGTGAACGCGCAAATTTGTTGAAAGGTGTCGATGCAGATATCTTTACGAAATTGAGAAGTGTGATTAGACCTACCAAAGGTGCTGCAGAGCTCATTCGCGCATTGAAGAGAATGGGTGTGAAAACTGCAGTTTTGTCGGGAGGATTCATCCCCTTGACACAATGGCTCGCGGATCACTTGGGAATCGATTACGCCTTTGCAAATACGCTCGAATCGGATCCGAGCACCAATCAATTAACGGGCGAAGTTCTCGGTTCTATTGTTAACGCGGAAAAGAAACGCGATTTGCTCCTGGAGATTGCGAAGAAGGAAAATGTGGCGCTGGATCAGGTTGTCGCGATGGGCGATGGCGCAAATGATTTGTTGATGATGGGAGTTGCGGGGTTGGGCGTGGCGTGGAATGCTAAACCTGTGGTGCAGATGGAGGCTCAGGCTAGGTTGAATGGGGAAAGTATGTTGGATCTTCTGCATATTTTTGGGTTGACGGCGGAGGAGATTAAGATTTTGATTTCGTAGGGGAGGTAGAGATAGGAAGGGAGGAAGAGAGAAAATGAATGCCTCCTGTTGAACGCAGAATGGGCAGATGGGAGTAGATGATGATTTGATGAAGCTAGAGGATTAGTTAGTTGTATGGGAAGGAGAAGTAGTGGATTCGCATATCCTTTTTTCTTTCTTGGTCGGTCTACAACGTGGGTATCGTTCAGCATAAGGGAGCACGAAATCCAGATATCATATGAGTGACGAATACTAGATTAACTTACAAAATAACCTTTTTCCTTTTTTTATTCTCCCGTTTTTTTTCTGGTGTCAAGGATCAATTGTAATTGTAATTGAAAACGTAAATGCAAATGTGACAATAAAATTATCGCTATGGTGATGATGATGCACGATTTTTCCATGTATTAAAATTAACTAAACTACGAGTATAGTCATCCCCAAACTAATAAGTAAATCCAAACCCAAATCCAAATCCGAATCCGAATCCAACTCCAAACCAAAACCCCAATCAAAAGTCCAAACCCCGAGAAACCGAGAAAAAACAAATTCAAATTCCAAATACACACACACACACACACTCTCTCTCTCTCTCTCTCGACTAACTATCCTCCGTAACCCAGATACCTATCCGTGATCCAGATACCTAGATACCCAGAGACCTATCTGTATGTATGTACCAAGCCAGCAGAGAGCCACGCCATACATATGGAGATAGATACATACATACATAACCCCCAAAA